TACCTCTACAGGAAACATTTTTTCCTCATGTATTTTTTTCCCTTAAACTTGGTCTGTGTAGTAACAAGTCATTAAAATCTCAAGTTCTCTATCCTCATTTAGAAAATTAAAGGTAGTCTCTAAGAAACTTCACTCAGAGACATGAGCCTCTTCTCACATAAGCATGGCTTTGCCAGCATTCTACTACATTATAATCTAGGCTAAGTCGACCTGAACAAAAGGCATGTGTGTAGGGGGGGGGGTCTTTAAATTAGCAACATAATTCTAAGTATTTACCTTCTCTGTAAAGTGACCAATGCACATTACCAAATCATTGTTTGGTTTTCTATGCACTATCTGGTAGCTGCAAACAATACACAAAAACTTTAAACTCAAACCTACTGTCAGCAGCTGGGCCCTTACAAAACTTGGGAAACTGAGGAAAGAGGGGACTAGACATCATTCACTTAAGGAACAGCCAAAATGTATATTTACATGTCTGAGTCAAAAGGTCTTTTTGTTAGGGTTCCTAAACCAGCACCAGCTAGGAGTCTGGAAATGGAAGCAAACCATGGGCACCCTCCTTTTCATCCCCACACCCCACTTCTGACCCTTCGTCTAAGATGTATCTGGGCTAGGGTAGCAGGGTACAGCACTCTACAGTCTTGTTGCAGTGGGAAGCAGAACTGCTTTCTCTAAAATAAAATGCTCTGTGGGCTGGGGAGGAAGTGCCTGCCATGTAAGCCTGAGGATCTGGGTTTGGACCCCCAGAACCCACTAAAGAGTCGAGTATCGTGGCCCATGCCCACAGCCCCAGCATGGAGAAAGGGCGGGGCAAAGAAAGGAGGTCTAACCAAATTGGTGAGCTACAGTTCACTGAGAAACTGTCTCAAAAACTAGACAGAGATTGAGAAAGACATCTGACACTGACCTCTGGCCTCCATGGGTGTGCACCCACACAAGCATGTCCTTACACCATATATACACATGCACACAAAACTAATGAAACAAAAATGAATAACTAAAAGGATTTCAACAACAATCTTGTGGCAAGCAGGGAGCTAGATGGTCCGGATCCGAGACCAGGTTACAGTGGCCCTAGTTTGGCCAACATGGGTACCCAACACTGACATACAGAAGCCTTATGCTGGAAGCCTGGAGGAGGCGAATCAAAGCAGCTGCCAGTGGGGCAGAGAAAGGCAATCTGTGAGAAACACAAACCACATCATGTGAAGAAGGCCACAGACAAGATGGCTCACATCTAGACTATAAGGTTGGAAGGAAGCTTCCAGGGAGGCACCATGGCTCCAAAACAGTATGCAAATATCGTAGTTTGCTTCTCTCTGCAATGACCAGCAGTAACCTGGCGAGGAAGGGAGCTTATTTGGCTGACATGACTCCATCACCGACCATCACGGAGGGAAGTCAGGGCAGGAGCGCAAGCAGCAGCAGAGGTAGGGACCACGGAGAGACTGCTAACTTGCTTGTTCTCTTGCACCCAGCCCAGGTCCATCTGCCCAGGGATGGTGTCACCCACCCGCCTAGGGCTACACCCACCAATATCAATCATCAACCAAGAGAGTGACACATAGACTTCTCCACGGGCCAATCTGATTGGAGATGATTCCTTGACTCAAGCTCCCTCTTCCCAGATGACTCCAACTTCTGTCAAGCTGACCCCCTCCCCCCAAAAAAGCACTCAGTATAAAAATTAAGATGAAAATGGGGAAAAGGAAGTACTCTTGGTCCGTACACAGGATAGAGAGTGTGGCTGAAGCAGACAGACCAGCCAGGGATTTGTTGCAATAAAACACCTGGAAGGTGCAGAGAAAACTGTGTCCGGATGAATGACAACAAAGGATCCCAAACCCTTGAGTGGGAAATTGTGGTTGAGTATCCCTGCAACACAGCAAATAGCACAGGATATCATAGGCTTCTTCACTGATGAGGGATATGGTCTACGTGCCCCCCACCCCAGCATACGTCCAAAATGACCACTACACTCTGTTCTATCCTACCCATAAACACATCCAGCTATGGGAGTTCCAGTTCTCTCCTTCCATAACAGGTGCTGGAGGTCACACCCAGGTTGTCAGGTTGGTGCAATGGCTTTTCCTTGGTGACCCTCTCACTGTCAGAGTCTTGCTCCCTGGCTGGCCTGGAGCCCCTTAGGCCTTTGGGCCACACTCGGATCTCTGTCCTTAGAAGAGATTAAGGTAATTCCCAGGAGAGGCTCATTACGAAAGCCTGAAGTCTGCCCCACTCAGTGTTGTATGGCTTCCTGAACCCAGATGCAGCCCTCACTCCCACAGTGCTCACCACTATGGCCATCTACATGAGCAAAATGAGGGTCCTCACCAGAGCTGAACTGATGCCCTTGAACCTCTGAGATCAGCCGCTAAACAAAGCTCGTTCCTTCGTGAGTAGCCCATCTCACTGATACTGCACTAATATACCTACAGCACTTAAGTCACACACGCAGACAACACCCTGACTTAAATCATTCTTGGAATTTTTCACACTCCCTATTCTGGTGTCATTTCAGACTAGCGACACGGCCCATCACACTTATGAAGTGTGGCAGCAGCAGTAAGCTGTAACTCAGTCACACATGCCATCGTGAGAGGAGACACCACTCTACGGTGTGCCGCGCTGACTGCATGGCACGACGGTGTTTTACATCCTACCATGTCTGCACAGTGCCCATGTGTGTAGTCAACAGTCTGTTACAAAGCTGGTTTTGTGTTAGCGTGGTTTTGCCCACGCGTAGGCTCATGTGAGTACACTTGAAGAGGCTCAGCTTAGCTAGGAGAGGTATAGTAAACACCCTTGATAAACCGTTCCCAAAGGGCTTACACAGCCATACCGTAAGCCATACCGTAAGCCACAACACATCTCTGTATATGAACACTTATCTATTTATATTTGTATATATTGGGTTTTGCCACTGTTTTTAACTTTTGAAAATACTTTAGTGTGTGTGTGTGCAGACATCCCACAGCACAGAGGCAAAAGTCAGAAGACAAACTCGCCCTCAACTATGGCTGCTGAAATCCAAACCCACACTGCCAGGCTTGCACAACAGAGCGTCTACTCAGTGACCATCTCAGGCCAAGTGAGGGTCTTTGCTGTTTATGTATCCCTGGCTGACCTAAAACCCACTGTACAGACCAGGCGGGCCTCAAGCTTGTGGCCCTTCTCCCCCTGCCTTGTAAATGCTGAGACTGTAAGCACACAAGTACTGCCATGCTCAGGTGTGATGTGTGCATGTATGTGTGAATATGTGTGTTTGTGTGTGTGTGCACATGTGCACAGACTGATTAGCACATTAGCAAGCAATGCGGATGAAGTGTACATTTACACTTAATAAATATTCATTGAGTACTTAAAAAATAATAAAAGTACAATTTAGAGTAAGTATAATTACACTATAATAGAAGAGACGGCTCAGCAGGTAAAGTCACTTGCTCAGAGACCTGGAGACCTGAGTCTAATCCCTGGACTCACACAAAGGTCAAAGGAGAGGACTGACTTTACAACATTGTCCTCTGACCTTCACATGGGAACCTTGTGCCCACCCCATACATGTACACACCGTGCGCACATACAATAATATTCTTTTAATTATTTATAGTTACTTGAATGCAGTCTCTGCTTATCAGAATTTTTCATTGAATATTCTCAGACTTGGACTGTGAGTAACTAAAGATAAAGGAGGCTACAAAGCTCAAAGTTGTTTCCCAATGTAAACAGTAAACCAAATGGTTACAGAGGGAAGTTTTCTGAGAGTAAAACATAGCTCACAATTGGAAGAACTAGAATAACAATCTTTAAGGTAACAAGGATTAGAGGGAGAGGGGAGCACCCTGGATCTCCTGACCTCCATCTGAGTGAGAAAAAGACTCAGCAGACACTGGAGAAGCACTGAAAACTTTCCTAGGAAGGGGGCCTGGACAGCTCGAGGATGCCCCTACCCACCCAAAACACATCAAGCAGGTTATCCAGCCACTCTGAGGTTAGTGTAATCATTCTACACACACACACTCACATACATACACACACATACATACACACACATACATACACACACATACATGCATGCATGCATACATACACATACACACACACACACACACACACATTGTATCGATCCTCAAATCCACTGCAGACCTGTAACAGAGCCCAAGGATCTGTGAATGGATGGGGAAGCCGGAAGACACCACAAGGAGCAGTTATAAAGATTCTAGCAGCTTTTATTACAACAGCGTGGCTAGCATTTCATCCAACATCAGCAACATTGGCCCATCCGTCATCTTCTATAAAACAGCCCAGGAAGCTCAGGCACATCTGGAGCAACGCTTACCCAACACTGGTTAGTGTCCAGACTTCACATCACCCCCGATAACATGGGATCGTTTCCCAGCAGGCATGTAGCATAAAGCCTGCTGCTTTGTTTGCCTATACACACATCAGAACATGCCTCACAGTTAAACACTTTATTACAGAACTCCGTGACATCCAGACTTACTCATGCTTGGTGTCAGTCGGTTATACCAAATACCATAAAATACAAAATGATAGGAAATATAAACATGTATTTCAAGTTTATAACATTTTATTTACAAAAATAGGCTGAGAAGGCCAGGGGTCCACCCCACATTCTTTCCTGGAGAAACCGCTTTGCATCACGGTTCCTTTAGTAGTTTCTAAGGTTGCGAGGAACTTCTTCAGAGCTGTACTTTTCAACTAGAAGCTCAGATGGAAAGGAGAGAGTGGGGGGGAGGGGGAGGGGGAGGGCAGTGGGAGAGGGGGAGGGAGGGGGAGGGGGGGAGTGGGAG